GTGGCTGCCACGTTACTGCGGCCTCATTGGCTCCCCAGCCCTCTCATGCCCACCTACAGGAAAAGGAGCCGCAGAAGGCGTTGCCCCCTCAAAGAGCGCGGGGATTGGGTTTCTGAAGAAACTACAAAACCCAGCATGCAGAGCGGCATGTCACGCGGCCGGGCCCTCTGACTTAGCGGAAATGGAAGTCTTCGGGGTGGGCGCGGATACTTTGTTAGGAAGTGAGTGGACAGTGGCCGGAGGCGCTCACAATTGTCCGTATTGGGCCAGTCAACCGCAAAATTGGGTTAGGGTGTGGTAGTTTCCGCGTTTGCGTGTACCCAGAATATGACTTCTACAGCTCCTTGCAAAACTTGCTTCAAAACCCACTTTTGACTTTGTCCTGTCACTTTACTACTCACTTTCTCTCCTCTAATCTTACTGTGCTTGTTGCTGTATGAGTCAATGCGCACTCTGTCACACACACTGTTTTTTTTCTTTGTTTTTTTTTACGTTAATCCGCATTCGAGGATATTTTTCCCATTGATTTTTAGAAAGAGAGGAGGGCATGCGGGGGAGAGAGAAACATCGAAATGAGACACACACATCTATTGGTTTCCCCACCGAGGTACATGCCCTTGACCAGAATTGAACCCGGGATCCTTCAGTCTGCAGGCTGAGTCTCTAACCACTGACCAAACTAACTAGGGCTTTAAAAAAAAAAAAAGATTTTGAATTGATTTTTAAAAGAGAGAAACATCATTGTGAGAGGAATACATGGATCTAGTGTGGTTTTCAACTTTTTAAAAATATATATTTTTATAGATTTCAGAGAGGAAGAGAGAGGGAGAGATAGAAACATCAATGATGAGAATCATTGATTGGCTGCCTTCTGCACGCCCCCCACTGGAGATGGGGCCTGCAACCCAGGCATGTGCCCTTGACTGGAATTGAACCCGGGACCTTTCAGTCCCCACCAGCTAGGGCTCAACTAACTTTCTTTACCTATTTTCCCAAGTAACTACTTTTTTTTGTGAGCAACGATTATGTTGCACTTATTTTGTGTATACTGTAGCTCCCCCAAACCTGCTGCAGGGCTGTGCTCAACAAGTAATGGTTGAGATAGTGTCACATTAGCACCCAGCTGGGAAATAATACATGCCAAGGCCCGAGTTTTAGTCTCCCTTTTTGAGAAACCTTCAGAAAGGTCAGGGATGGTTGTTGGATGCCTTCCCACCCTTAGTTCAGGTATTCACACTCACTTGGTGTTCAGTCTACAACATACATACTTCAGTACCATAAATCTTACACACACACCAAAGTACATCTTTCCAAAACGTGCACCTATGATGTTATTAAACATCTTTAAAACTAATTTTCAAAGATTAATTATAAAAATTCCTGGTCTTCACAGCCCAGATTGTAGGTAGGCATGACTGTTTCTATAGCTAAACTCTGCAGTTGGGTCTCTATGAGGTGCTGACCTAAGTTTCAGGTTATGCATGGCCGCTGGCATAAGTTTAACTTGTCCTTCCTTACACTGGCTGCAGAGCTTCAACAGACAAATCTCACATAAACACAAATAACATTTGCTATTTTCTAATCTTCACACCTTAATCCAGACCACCTCAATCAGGTGGAGGTTCTTCTAGATAAAATCATTGCACTGACCAAGATGATCTTCTAAACTCCCTTCCCCTTAATTCTGTGGGAATGAATTTTCCACACTCACAGATCTTATGCTGCTACCGAATCCACTGAGAAAAATGTTCACCAAACTATATTTTCAAAGTAGCCTTCTCAACATGAAGAGAAATGCTAAAATGGCATAAAAACAGCCTTCTCCCCCCACCTTTTCCACCACTTTTGGAAGAAAAAAAATAAGCTTGGTGGATATAATAGTCTCAATGCGAAGTTTTTCTTTCATAAAGATCTTAAATTTTTTTTCTGTTTTTACTTGCCTGCCAGTGGAAAAAAAAAATCCTTACATAGTAATTGAATAGTGAAAAGAAACAAAGAAAAAAACAACAGAAAAACTGCAACCAATCATGCCCAGATTGGCAGTTGTTTTTGTGGCCAATATATGCCCTTGTGAGTTTATATCGCATAGTCCAGTTATACCTTCTGTCTGTATAGATGTTCCTCATTAGTGGAGCAGGATTATAAAGCTCTATTCAAAGCTGTTCCATAGAGCAGATCCTAACTTCCTGGTGTTCCACCACCCAAGAACCACAGGAATATTGGAACTAGTATGTCAATGGTGAATGTCCAAATTCTGCCAGGATTATTTATATATTTTAGATTTTTAATTTATTTTTAGAGAGGAAGGGAGAGGGAAAGGGAAACATCAATATATCACATCCATCGGCTGCTTCCTGCACACCCTCTACTGGGGATGGAGCCCGAAACCCCAGACATGTGCTCTTGACTGGAAATTGAACCTGGGACCCTTCAGTCCACAGGCCGACACTATCCACTGGGCCAAACCAGCTAGGGCAGGAATATTCATTTTTAAAGTGACCCAGAAGAGAAGGCAATGTTTAGCCCAAATGAATGAAGACTGTCAAAGTATCAGACATTATTTTCATTCACTGGAGGCTTGAATCCTATCAAAGTTAGACCTAGCCAGATTCTTAAGTTACAAGTGAGCCAGGGGAGATAAAAACTAGACAAATCAACCAACCAAACAAAATTAGCCAAGAAAGGTAAGACATTTTATTTTACATACAAAAAGGGTGCAAACTGAGTCCTTTCCTCCCCAAATTGGGGAAGAGGTATACTTAAAGATCACATTTGTGTTTTCCATGGTGCCCTAGGAAATGGGCTACACTGAGATAACTTATCAAGACCCATTTTCCCATTTTCTCCAAAGAAGGCTAGTTCCTCTGCAGAGGAATTTTTCCTAATGATGTTACAAATCTCTCTCCTGGAGGAATAATTTCAAATACACTTGAAATTGACATTCATGTTTAAAAATACTACAAGTTTCATTTTCACAGCTGAGCTTTGTGACCAGTGCCAGGGTTTATGAAACATTACACATCTAAAACAACAGGTAAAAAAAAAAAGAAAGAAAGAAAAAAAGGCATTTAACAATGATTAGACACATCCACACATCAATTAAAACTAATTTCCACAACTGATTTATACATTATCTAGTCTCAAAAAATTGCAATCAACATCCCAATATCTTTTTAAAAGTACAATGGGCAAAGATGAATGAAACAAACAAAATAATAATATAATAAATTAGAGCATGTAATATATCCAATGGGCATTGGTGAATCAACATTATTTTCCATTGGGGGGGAGGACTTATATTTTTGGTTTCTATCTCTATCTTTTCTGCTGTTTATTATTTATTCTTCTGCTTGATAAATGGGACTCATTCCCAGAACCAACTTGCTGTGACACTAATTTGAGAAGCTCACTTATTACTTGTTTACTTCCTAGAATATTCAGGAACACATCATCCCTGTAGCCTGGGCTGAGTTTTTATGAAAGTGAAATACACACAAATGAGCACACAGACACAAGCATACAAATGTAACCACACACAACCATCTGTAAATATATTTTCCCCCAAAGAAATGGCTCATCTTTCCTGAGACATTCCTAACAAATTGATAAGCCTCTTAAAAAAGCTTTCGGCGCAAGGGCTGGCCTGGGATTTGGTCTGGAACTCATGAAGAGGAACACTGAAAAGGTCTCAGCTGCCCTGACAGAGGGGTGTGTGGGGAAGGGACACTCAGGACAGCTGTCCTCTCGTGTGTGTTACTGGGATGTCTGCATTGCACCCCCCTTTACTACCATGAATAGCCCTCTGAGCTGAGACTTTGAAGGTGGTGATGGCACTGGAAAGATGATTGTGAGAAGTAAAGAAGGAAACTAATAAAAGAAATTGTCCACCAAACTGAGGTTTCTGAATAACATCAAGTTTGGTAATCACACTAGAAATATATGGAGTACACATTCATTTTTTCCTTTGTAAGCTGATCTACAAATACTGGAGTGGACTTCCTGGTTGCTTTTTGAGGAAATACGTCAACTACTACTGTCTATATCCAGGGAATCTACTTACTATTTTGAATAC